TATATCGATATATGTGAAAAATATAATATTTTAATTAAAAAAGTTTTTAAATAATTTATTATTTATAATTTTATAATTAATTTTTATAAATATTATTAAACCGTTTACGAAATTAAATTCCTCGGTTATATTATAAAAGTTTATAATGTTTTTATATTTTAAAATAAAATTAAATATATTTAAAAATAAAAAGTTTTTTAAAACTTAAAAAAGTTATAATAATTTATTAAGTTTATAAATTTTTATTAACGGTTTATTAAATCGTTTTTATATATAATTAAATTTATTATAAACGTAAATAAAAAAAATAAAAAAAATTAAAAATAAACGGATAAAATGTAAGAAATTTTTAAAAAGTTTAAAAAACGTTTTATTATTATTTTAATAATAATTTATTTTAATTTCGATAAAATAATGTTTATTAAAATTAATACGTTCGATTTTATTATTAATATAATTTTATTATAAAAAAACGAAAATAATAAATTTCGTTTCGTCGTTTTTTATTTTTATAAGTTATTTTTAACGGAAATAAATTATAAAATTTACGATAAAAAATTATTTATTATTATTAACGTATTTTAACGTTAATATTAATATTTTAAAAGTGTTAAATATTATATCGAAATATATTTTAATTATTAAAATTTATTTTATTTTATTATTATTAAAATTTTAAATAAATAATAAGTTAAATAAGTATAAAAATTATTTATTTTCGTATTTATTATTAATTATTATTTTAAAAAATAAAACGATAAAATCGATATTTTTTTTCGATTATTATAATATTATTTTAAAAAAAAAAAAACTAAAAATTAATTAATTATTTCGGTTTTATAAAAAAAACATTTTTCGCATTTTATTAGTTTTTTATTCTTAATTTTTATAACGGTTTTATATATATTTAAAAGGTTTTATAATTTTATTATTTTAAATTAAACTTTAAAATTTATAAATAAAATTAAATAAATAATTTTTAAAAACTTTAAATATTTTAATTTTTTTATTTATTTTTCGAAAAACATGAAAATACGAAATAAATTATTTTATCGTAAATATTATTTTTATATTTCCACGTTTTTATAATAAAAAATTATTAATTTTAAGTATAATATTAAAATTATAAAATATATAAAAATAAATAAAACTTTGAAATTAATTATATAAAACTTTTAATGGTTTAATATTAAAATTATAATAAAAGATTTTATTAAAAATTATTATAAATATTAATAAAATAAAATTTTTAAATATGCATTTTATAGTTTTTTATAATTTATAAAACTTTATTATAAATTTTAATATATTATTATAATAAATTTTATTATAAACTTTTTTTTATTAAATAAATATAATTTTATTTAAATTATTATTAATTTATTTATTAAAATAAGTTATTTTATTTTATTAAAAATAAACGAAAAAAAAATTAAAAATTTAATTAAAATTTTTATTAAAGAATATTAAAAATTATATAAAATTTTTTTCGATATTATTTTTAATTAAAACTTTAAATTTATAATTTATATTTAAAAAAATTTCTTTAAATTAATAAATATTAAACCACGTATAAATATTACGTTTTATTTTTAAATTAATAGTTAAATTAAACGATTTAATTAAACTTTTAAAGTTTATTTTTAAATATTTATTAATTACGAAATAATTAATTAAAAAAACCTTTTATTTACCGTTAAATTTATTTATAATAATATAGCTTTTTTATTTACATATTTTACGTTTTTTTATATTAATTATAATTATTATTTTACCGTTTATAACTTTTTTTTCGATATTTTTCGTAATTTATTTAATTAATTTTACGTATATTAAATAATATAAATATATTAAAAAACGTAATAACACTTTAAAAAAAACCGGTAAAAAATAAAAAAATAAATTAATAAACGTTAAAAAAATACGCTCGTTTATAAAAAACGATAATTAATAATATTAAATACACGGAATATTAAAATTAAATAACCGGTTAAAAAATTAAATAAAAAAATATTAAAATTTTTTATAATTTAAAAAATAATTTCCTTTATTATTATTAAATTAATTTTATTTAAAAATTAAAAAATTTATAACTTATTTTATATCTTATTTATCGAATTTTACCGCGTTAATAATTAAATAACTTTTAATTTTAATTAAATTTTATAAAAAATAACTTTAATAAAAATAAAAAATTATTAAATAAATAAAGTTATAAATTTTTTAAAAATTTAAAAAAAAAGTAAAATATTTAATTAAGTAAGAAAATTAATTAATTAAAAAATATTAAATTTAAAAACTTTATAAATATATATTTAATAAAAAAATTAAAACTATTATTTTATAATTTTATTAATAAAACTTTAAAAAACTTTAAAACTTTTAAATTTCGGTTATATAAAATTACTTAAAAACGAATATTAAAAAAAAAAAAACTAATATTACACGAAAATTAATATTAAATATTATTAATATTAAAATAAATATTATTAAATAATTATATATTATATTATTAAAAATATAATTAATTAAAAAAATATATTAATATATAAAAAAATTATATATTAAAATTAATATAAAATTATCGAACGTTTAAAACTTAATGTAATTTTAACGTTTATTAAATAAATTATTATTAAATAAAATCGTAAATTCCTTTTCGAAAAAAAAAAAAAGAAATTATAAACTTTAAAATCTTAAAAAATTATTACATTAATTTTAAAATACTATTCCAAGTTTTTATATTAACCTTTATTATAAGTTACATCGGCATAAGAACGAAGAGCACTCGATCTTTGGTACGTTTCATGTTAGTTGTCTTTAGTGATTATATGTATTTTTACCTTGTCGTGAGCCGTCGTCCGCCGGTGGGACGCTCCTCTTTTCATATGCCAGGTTTTATTAAATAAAAAAAATAATAACGATCGGGTCATAAGCTCACAGACGATTTGCCTACATCGTTTGGTCCTAGCAATGCTTGTCAAAAGCTACTAAAACGACGGACCGGCCACTGCCGCTGGCTAGGGAGGAATCCCCCCTACAAGTAGCATACTTAGCATACCATAGTGTACCTAGGCTCCTAGGTAAGTAGCATAAGGTATTATTATTATTACCTTGCACCATTTTCTTGCCAACTTGTACTTTTATTAGCGTCTCGCCAAGTCGAATAGCTGAAAGACCGGGGGTTAGGCCGCCGCGAATGACAGTTGAAATATAGTAATGATGAAAGCTACTGAGCCTGGAGAAGGGCCGTGAGACGGCGGCGGGGGAAATAATAATAACATTAAAAAAAAGGAACGAAGAGGAAAAAACGTCTACGCTACTTACTTCCTGGGTTCCGAATGCACATCATGCACCCGAACGGGCCTGGTCGACCTGGCACAACCGAGAGGAATGCCGACTCGCCAGCCAGCCATCCAGTCAACCAGCCAGTCCTACTTAAGATGTCCTGCACTAAACAAATGCGCAGCTACGTTCTAGGTACGGTACAGCTTTCCAGTGTGGAGGTTGCATAGTCTAGGATTCTTACATGGCCCAGGGCAGGCCAGCCGAACCGACATCAGGATGCTTGCTTAGTAGTAGGGGAGTAATGTCGCATGAATGTACTTGGGAAACATACAACATACAAGTTCTGAACATTTTTAGAATCAACCTGGGGGAGGGTTTCCCTGACAGACCATTGGGTCTCCGCGTAACTATACTAAATACCTAGAATATCTTTCCTGGGAGTCGCATCGCCCGCGCTCGAAGAGTTACAGTACCTAGGTAGGTACGGTACATGTGCTAGAAAGTCGGGTTAACATTACTGGGTAGTCGAAGTCGAAGATAGGCGCAGAGGTGGTATGTACAGCAGAATAAAAAAAAATAAAAATAAAAAAAGAGCCACGGCATACATTAGGTATGTACCTACCTACTACCTACTACCTACTACCTACGACCTATATACGTACCTCATACACACACACATATACACACATAGAACGTCTATTAAGCTCCTTTGGAATGGTAGCCCCGATTCGCCATCGCGGCTTGCCCCCCTTGATCTGGCAAGGTCCCTGGGTTTTACTACAGTATGGCTACCTGTGCTTTATTAGGGTCAGGCTAGGACCCAGGCCGGCGGCCCACCTACGCAGCTCGAAACACCGTAGAGCTAGCGACTTTTTGTCTACTGTCGATGAACATCGTCCGTAGCCCTGTTCGGTTTCCTTCCTTGTGCTCTATTTGCAGGGGTCGTTAGTAGCAGAAGGATTCGGTTTGACCCCTCCAGATTATATTTCCGATTTTTGCTTTGGCGCCGGACTAGGGCGGGAGACCCAGATGGAATATACATGTGCATCTCTACCTTTGCGGGTTTGCCATCGTCCTTCTCCTCAAATCACTGCCTCTTCCAGAACTCGTTACTCTTCTCCCGTTACCAGCTGTCCCTGGACGTCGAGGCGGCACATCTGCCAAACTTATCATCGTCGACCCGGACTTCCCTTTAAGTAACACCACATTAAACCCGTATTGTAGCCCATACCTACTTTACATTTGTACATGATCGTTGTCGCCTACCGGCAGGACTCTCCCTTCCTATTTAGGCAATCCTTCTCTTTTTCGACCCTCTTGAGACCAACAGGAAAACAACAAGGAACCAAAGGAACCAGAGGAACTTTCAACCGAGCAGAGGATAGGAATATTAAATGCTGGATCGCAACAGCCCTAGCGCTTCCGAGACTCTGTTTCCAGCCGGTCATCCATCCCGCGTAGTTTGGGAGCCCCCGCCGGAGCGGTTTGTTGGGTTATTGAGCCATCAGAGGAGGCGGGACGGGTGAAAAAAAAAGACTAGAACTAGAACGACTTTTCTAGTAGCACAACGCTGCTGCAACACCGCGAAAAGGCAGTTGGTCCCTAGGATTTTCTCGAGGGCGAACCATAAAAAAAAAGGACGAGGGTTTTTGTGTGTACTAGACTCGGGCTCTGCGGTTTTTTGGTGCGAGGGTAGTTAGCTTCAAAGTCGCCTCCCCCCTCGTTGAGAAACCACTATTCGCCGTATGTTCATCATCCCAGGTCTCAACCACGGTGGAATGGTGCTTGGATACCGTTCTAATACCTGGCCTTTTCCAAAAAGACGTCTTCAGCATAGTTCTCTGCATGTTCCTTGAGCGGTAAACTCTCCCCAGCAAGTCGCCCAACTGGGGAGAGCCCGATCCGAGGAGGACTCCGCCCGACCAAGCCGCGAATAGCTTGACACGGGAGTTCTCTATCGACGATGGCAGCATCGTCACATAATCCGTTTCCTCGTTCCCCAAATCCATCTACCAGGTCGTATGACTCTTCGTCGGTATCGTCAGCAACTTCACCTCGGCCGCAGGTTCAACTCCTAGGAAACTTGATGAGTTCCAACGCGAGACCGAATACCAACCAGACGCCGCAGCCCATAGGCATTCCGCCCATGCCGCCGGCGACTCAAACGGGATTTCAGCCGTATACTCCGGTTACGGCAACTTCCGTGATGGGCCGAGATTCGCTACCCCCGACGGAGTCGGTAGCGAGTACCCCGGGACTCTCTAGCGCTCAATTATCGGCGAATGTCTCGGCTCAAAAACGTGCCTACCGTCAGAGGAGGAAGGACCCTAGGTATGTGTTCGGTAGATGGGGTTTTTCGTGTGTGCATGCCTAGGTTCGATCGAGAAAGTTGCATAAAGCCTCTGCTCGCTTACCCCCTGATCCCCCTTTTTTCCCTCGTAGAGAAGAAGCCCAATGCTGACTTCTAGGTACGGGGTATGGAGTGAACGAGGATTGACTTTTCCCTTAGCTCTTCCAGCACGGGGAGGAGTCGATGTTCGCTTCTCCGAACTCTGTACGTGTGTAAAGCTGCGATGCCTGTCGGGAAAGAAAGGTCAAGTGTGATGCTACAGAAACGACAAGCTGCTCAGAATGCTCAAGCCGCAACGTCAAGTGTCAATTTACCAAAGAGACCAACCGGCGGATGTCGTCTATTAAACAAGTACAGGATTTAGAGAAGCAGATCGAGAGGGTACGGAGGGAAAATAGCAATCTACGGCGCACTCTTTCCGAACGGGGCGAGCACATGGACATCGATGTAGAGGTAGCTGAGCAGTCGCCGCAACAGCTTCTCCCGGAGTTAAACTCCGAACCCAGGAGACGGAAACGGGCAGCCCCTTTACTTCAAGATCCCTCCCGAGCGAGGGCGGCATTTCGAAATTTCTCAAAGGGCGTATTAAAACCTCCGGCGCCATATCGACAGCCTCAAGCCTCTATTACTACGTTCGATCTTCCTAGGCCACCATTACCGCCTAAGGCAGCAGTGGATAAGCTCCTTCACACGTATTACGGAGCGGCACATATCATGATGCCAATACTGCACTGGCCAACGTTGCAGCACCAAGTGGAAGAGCTTTACCAAAATACTACTGACCTACAGCGAGTTCCCATATCTTGGCATTCGATGTTCTTTGCGGTATTGGCAGTAGGAAGTCTTTTTAGCAACGATCCGTATCCAGATCGGACATTACGGGCCAACGAGTTTCTAGAAGCATCTAGGAGCTTAACAGATCCGTGGAATAACGACTTCGACCTGGATAACGTTCGAGCCTCGTTTCTTACATCGCTCGCTTTGAATGAGTTGAATCTGAAGTCGGGGGCTTGGACATGGCTGGGAACTGCTGTACGGAGTGCGCAAGATCTCGAACTGCATTTGGAAGTCGTTGGTGTGCGTTCTAGAGTGGAAACAGACATGAGAAGGAGAGTCTGGTGGGCGATATACACGCTCGACCGAACGTTATCTCTGGAGCTCGGGCGCCCATTTATGATCGACGATGCCGACTGCGATGTAGCTCTCCCCGAACCATTCGATGACCATTACCTGCACACCGAAGGCCCCGTGCGTCCTCCAAATGCTGCACCACTAACTCACTTTTTGCACGGAATCATCAACATAGTGCGGTCTTTCTCCGCCATGAGAAAAGCCTTCTCTAACTCCGTAATCGAACCGCCACGCCTAGCAACATTCGACAGTCACTTTGTTGCATGCCAAAAAATGTTTCCGGAAGCCTGCGAAGCAAATAACAGCACACTAATCGCTCCGCACATGCTAATGCCTCTTGCCTACCTCCTTAGTTCCCGACTACTTTTACATCGTCACAATCTCGCACCAGGCTGCCCTCCAGAAGCAAGAAACGATGCTATTCAGCAATGCAAAGCCACGGCAATAGAAACAGCAAATTTGATCGCACGGACTAACGCGACGCTTGCCGATACAGCCACAGCCCTTCTCGTAACCCACATATTTCGCTCTACGCTGTTTCTACTCCTAACAGGTTATTACGAGCTAGCATCTACGTGTCTGAGAGCCCTAAAATCAGTTGGCGTGCGACGAGATATCGTTATCCCGTGCGGGCGCTTTTTATCGTTTTTCTTACAGATCCTAGGAGCCAAGCAGCAAGAACTACTAACCGTGCTCCCGCGTTCGACGACGCCCGGTTACCCACCGCAAGCGGTTTTACCCGATCCAAGAGCCGTCCAAGAGGCTTTATTAAAGGACGAAGAACTCCTGATTTACGTAAGCGCAGATATGCAAGCTAGCACCGAAACGTCTTGGGTATGGATCGGTGCTGAGCGCGAGGCCCCGTTAACGACACCCCTATCGTCTACCGGAGGCGGCCTCGCGCACCCCGATAACCGGACGGGTTTAAGTGCCAAAGAGCGGGAAGATTGGGGAGGGTGGGACAATTTAATAGATCTTACAATGGCTCTAGCTTCCGGCGCAGCAAGCCCGGCTCCCGGCTACACACCTCGAGCGCAAACATTACCTCCGATTAAGGTCGAGCAGGGAGTGAATTTACCTGGAGGCGGGATCGCTGAAATTGGGAGTAACAGAAATAGCCCGACCGCCGGGGCAGCATCGGGGAGCCGGAGCACGGAAAGGATCAGCATCGCGAATATAATTTAACAACGACATCCAGGCCGTGATTACCCAGGTAGTAAGGAAAGGGAGATGGTGGTGCGCAAAAATAAAAAATAGGGGGTGACCAAGCCGGATAGGACCCGGACGAGACTACGAACATGAACGAACGAACGGACGAAATACCCCCGTTTATTCGAATTTTTTTTCCCCAGTTAATTTTCGCATGATGGCGCTCTGGAGGCTTCCGTGACGCATTTTTTACGACTGTATTATTTATACCATTCTTTGCATCGCCAAACGGTAATACCCAGTTTCCGATATGGTGCCAGTAGAACATCTGTCAGGGGTTATTTGATGTTTTCCCCCAGGCGGCTCCCGTCTGCTTCTTTCGGCTCTGTTCCGTCGACTAGAAAAATCTTCTTTTTCCTTTATAACGTACTCGGAAACATGCGGATGATACCAGGTTCTATCTACTACTGTCACTACTGAGATTCCTTTCTTCTACCCACTCCCCCCCCTTTTCGGAGCCACGCTTGGGCAGACATGCAAGACGGTCGGATTTCGGCGTATGTTTTGTCTCGGAGGGACGCCCGCAAAAAAATACCCAGCGCATATCGGTTGAATCAGGGGAGTTTGTTTGGGATGTGGTGGGTGCGCTAAAGGCCTTGTTGACGAGACGTCAAGGGCTTTGGATGGACACTCTCCGTTCGGCATATGAAGGGGACGTGGTCCCAGGGAATTCTGTAGCGAATTCTACTAAGCATTACGATAGGCCCTACACCTAATCGAACGTGCATGATACGTGTATATGGCAGACTCATGAATATAACTAGCGCTCGCATTCAGTAAAACAGAATGCGTTTTTCCTTCTATGAACCTGGTTATTCTCGGCGATCGTTTACGGTCACATGCGTATGTACTTGCAAGGAATATCGAACAGACATCCCATCCCGTCGAGTTGTAACTACGACGGTCCGGCTCGGCGAATCACGTACCTGGGCAGATAATATACCTTGCTCGGTGTGCAGTCATTCGGTAGGTCCGGTTCATTTTAGCCTGATACAACCGAATAACCGACGCTATCAGACGGGTCCTAGAATTCAAGCCTCGTCTGACGTTTCCATACGCGCAGCCCCGACATGACAGGCGTCCTCGGACGCCTAAAATCTTACAACCTGATCCGACGACGTGCCTTAGTCTCAGCTCTGTCTGGATATATCTGTCCCGGCATTTCCGCCTCCCTTTTCTCGATAATGCATACAGGTAACCTCCTTATACACATAGCGTTGATGTGGAGCGGAAGTACGCCAAGCGTTCTACTCTCCAAGCTGTCCGGAGCCGAAATAGCACCTGTTCTTGGCCAATTCCATAGGCATGTAAGGGGATTCCGAAAGGCATAAATATTATACCTGTTCTGCAAGAGCCATTATCAAATACCTAGGCACCTAGGGTGTGATCCACTATGCACGTTGGTGATGGCCTCCCTTAGAACGACGTAGCTGGGACGAAGATGGAGGAGGGGGTAGGCTTAGTAAACACCCTCGAAGACTCTCCCATTGGTAAATGCAGTGTAGAGGGAGCTCTACACACCATCCTGCAGACGTGGGATCATGAAACAGCAAGGGTATGGAGTGCGTTCTGTTTTGGTAGTCCAAATTTATTGGGGTTATTCAGCTCCATAGTCCGCATGTCACCTAGGTAGTGGGATAGTCTTGGCCCTGTTCTAAATTCGACGATGCCCGTCGAGATACCACTCAACTGATAACCACATCGGGTTACTTCACACTACAACCAGACATCGCGGCGCAATTATTGTCCCAAAATCGGTATACCGTTATAGCCCTATATTTTCCTGTCTTAGTAAGTCGGGTATTGCACCTCGGGTAATTCTTGCCCGAGCTTCGACGAATCCGGGAGCTATACTGACCCAGGCGGCGAGGACGTAGTATCTTCATGTCGGAAGGAATATATCGGCTGTAGATCATATGAGTATGAGAGACTTATCATGTGAGTTATCCTCTGATCGAGGTTATACCTACCTCCTAGGTAACCAACCATGACTCGTTTAAAAATAGGAATCGACTGTCAAGCACACAGTCCAGGAACAGTTAGCGGATTCAGGTAGAGAATTTCGAGCTAAATCTTGTTTATTTACACAGTTCCATAATGGAGACTAGCTCTAGTCAAAGGGGTCAATTTCTGCCTTGCCATCATCACTACAGCTTGAATACTAGGCCCCTGAAATTTTATATGGTTACGACATACCGGGAACATTGGTCGGAATAGGGGCTTGTACCCGTTTGGTACCTACCTACCTATCTTTCATGAAATTTTATATATGACTTGTAATTGGGGTTAGATCGCATACAGAACGACAGATTAGTACACTTCCAATTTATCAGGTTTATTTCCAACTTTGATAGTTTCAACCTGTTTACCGATGCTTAACGTCGATATATAGCCGCTCCACCCTACCTAGTAATATATGTCCAATTCTAGTGATTCAAGTACAAAAATTCGTAGTCTCTATAATAATCCAATGGTGTGTAGGTACACAACATCTCACGAAACAACGATCTAGACCAGCGGAAGGTGAGGTACATAGAAGCAGTGTACCTGCAATAGAATTGCTGCATTCAACGTGACCCGATACGCTAAGCTTGAGTATTGTAAATATAACAAGGTATAGATGATAGCTTGCTCACCACTCAAGTGAAATACTTCAAGGTTTTCCAGTTACTCCACGAAACAATTTTTCTTAATTAGAATAGGAGGTCATTAATAATTATGGCCCTGAGTATAACATGATGACATAATCTGAGACAGTGTTGTTGGGAGAGATATAGGCATTCCTAGGTGCACTGGAGAAATTTTGACGCTGTGCTAGGGGGGTGCTTTTAGTCTAGGTACCTAGTTGTGCGCCGATACGGGTTACCCCTTATCAATTCTAGGGGCCTCTATTTGTTACTCAACAGTTGGTTTTTTAGATCGCAGAAGGTTTATACAGATCTGGTGTGGCCAAGGAAAGGGGGAAGTGAATCTATCGTCTGTCTTATATGGAGGCCTGAATTGAAGCCCCCCTGTTATAAGGGACGATGGTGAGCAAAGGAATCCACTTAAAGATAATTTTAATTAAGAATATTCACTGTTTTGCTCACATATTAATTGCTTATAAGGGGATTCTCTTCGTTGCCTGGGTAAATAACTTAGCAATCAGGGGAGGACTAGGTATTGACTAAGGCTATTATTCATCGAAGATCAAACTCCCCTCCATGGCTCTCATCAACAACAAGCCAGCGCATCGGGCCATCAGGGAATTTCGAATACGCAACAACCAGTGTCCTCCTTTCACCAGGCCTTACATCGTAGTTGATGAAGTCGCATGTGGTAGTAAAGCTGAATCCTTGAGAGGCATATTCTAGGAGCCGTTTGTTGAGGGACTCATCGTAGATGGGCTGAGAGCCCCAGATGACGTTATGAATGCGGATGACATCGTTACAGGCGTATTCGCAACCCTCTTGGATGCCCATAAGACGCCTATTAATATGCTCAAGTTCGCGGCATTTCTTATCAGCTTCTTCGGCCTCTATATGATACCTATTGTTGTGTTCAATAGCCGCGTCACGTTGCTTGATCGCAGTTTTGAGCTCTCCTGCACCTTGCTCGAGTTCAGCTTCGAGATCGTTGATCCTTGCGTTCGCCCTATCAAGCTCTTCGCGCGTTTTCTTGAGGTCCAGTTCTACGTCCTGGCGATCCTTTCCTGCTGAGCGTAGTTGGTTGATGACCGCTTGCATGACTTGAATCCGTTTATTATACGACTGGATGAGATGCTCGGAGGGTGTTGTTGTGCATGCATCTTTTCGTGGGATTTCAGCTAGAGATATGAGTGAGGAAACGGTTCGACTACCTAGTTGGATGGGCATAGAAGGGTTGCGCGATACGTACGAGAAACCTGTTCGTCAGGCCTCCAGTGTGGCATTGTAGGGTTCGGTGATGCCGTGGGAGAGGGTGAATTGACGCGGAAGAGCTGAACCTGTGGACCTTGAACGGTGCTGTGGCTCGCTGATAATCGAGACTCCAAGGTCTTCAAGACGTTTCCGCGATCTAGACTTGTATAACTCTTTGTTTCCATAATCCACCCAACTCGGACTTAGAATGCGATTGTTCAAGATCGTAGGTAGTTGATAGTTCTTAGAATATCTTGGCTGACGAGGAACTAGAAGTGTTCTACCAAGTAGATAATCGCATAACATATTCACTCACACAACGTCTAGCTGCCCAAGGATTGCGTCACATGCATACTGGCTACGAATCAAGATTAGGAAGTTGCATGAACATCGTCCTCCGAGGTCTACATAGAGGAACCAACCAGGAACGTCGATGCGTCGTGAGACCATATTACATGAATTGCGGCCATTAATACAAAGGGATAAGGCTCTTCTTGGGTCCGTGAATGGTCGATTTTTATAGGACAATTTTCTCCGATTATTCTGTGAAAGTGTAATTTTAAATGAGTTTTCTAGGGAATGTATCTCGAATATTCTCCGATAGATTCAAGAAAGTACCTGTATATGAATATAGGTAAGCAATTCATAAGACTAGGACTAAATCGATTGGCTCTTGATGTTTATACCTGATTATCATCGAAGACGGTATGTTTAAGCGCGCGCGGCCTTCTGATCGGAGCGGCCCGCTCAAGCTAATCCATGGATGTTGTGTTCCCGTTTTACTAGCCAAGATATATTCATGGCTAGAAGAGTCAAGGTGCAGATGGATGATGGGATAAATACCGTTGGATTTTTCATCAGGTCGCCGAATCGCGCTTAACGGAGGTGGTTGTTCTGGTGAATAATTTCCTAACCGGTCACTCGGCCTCCAGATCCTGTGTGATATGGTCGCCGACTACGCTTATATCCCCACTCAGCTTCTCATATTATTAATGTATTGTCGTCGGTATTGGATAGCCGTGGATAAGTGGCAATAAGCGAGCATAAACTTATGCATAATAGACGTATCATAGAAGAGGGTCTGCTAGGAAACCCTCAAAGGATCTAGATTATCTCAGGTGGCCTCAGCCTACGTACGCTGTAAAAGGTGTTGTACTCCCCCGCCACACCTTTTTTTCGACCAATCAGAGCCCTTTATCCCCATCCCACACCTTTTACAGCACGTAGTCTGAGGTCCGGTTAAATTAAAACTTTTCTGATTTTATTAATAATAATAATAAATAATTTATTTACGATTAAATTAATTACGTAACGATTTATAAATGTTTTAAAATTTAAATATAAATTATAATATATTAATTTTAATAATAATATTTTTTATTTTAATAAAATAACGCGGCGTATAACGCGAATTAATGAAAATGTATAAAATATATTATAAAAAATATATAAAAATATAAAACGGTTTATTTAATAATATATAATTCGGTTATTTTTTTAAAACGTTTTTATATTTAAAAAAAATAAATTTTAAAAATTAAAAAATTAATTACGAAAAATAATTAAATTAAATTCTACGTTTAAAATATATTTTTAAAATTATATCGATATATTTTTATTATAATATTAATAATTTTAAAAATATTAATGCTGCTATTACTATAAAAGTTTACTAACTCATGCGCGTTTTTTTTCAACGAAGCCTCAGACTAGTATACCGCGCTGTCTGCGCATAGGGCCCACAAATACAAAAGCTCGAGCCACCCCTCAAGCCATAAACAAGCCACAGCGCGGTGACTAGTCTGAGGCCACCTGAGATAAGATCTAAACTGATCCGCTAGTCGAATGGCAGATCGGGTACACATTGGTGTTAATATCGATCTTCAAATCAACCTTGCTAGACGTATACACGACATGAGTGTCAGGACGATACTTACCTACGGACGTTTCCCACGAGCACCCTGAAAGTCGCTGGAATATCAGGTAAGTATTGGTTCCTAAGTGTTTTAGATTAATTCCGTCGTCTACCAAGTATAGCTTAATCTTCCTCATGCGCACCGGTCAAAGATCCGGCGAGACCCTGCATGCGTCGACCCAGTAGATCGTCCGAACTATCCAGCTTCACCAGGCTCTTCGATTTCTGCCCCATTCCGGTCCTTCCATTAGACCTTCTCTTCCTCGAATTTCCATTTGGTTTATCTACATCGCCCTCTTTCCCTTGTTCGGGGCTGCTTGGTTTCGCTGGTAACCCGTTGCTGACGGCTCTCGATCGGAGCTTCGTCATATTTATCTCAAGAGGCCGGTCTTCGTCGCCGCTGGATTCGGTGCGCACATGACGTGGCCGAGACGCATTCTCCCGTTCACTCCTTGCCCGCGCCTCCTCCGTCTCGAGCAGATTCATAGCCCATCGCGCGCAACGGTCGATAAGCTTCCACGCAGGTGGGTACAAAGTTGGAAATTGAGTGAAGCCATGACTAATTCCGGGTATCAGAACGACTTCAGCGACATCCTTCTCGTCGAAGTCCGTAATGTCATCTAAGCCTTTCATACCCTGAGAGCTACGCTGCGAGTGCCAGGCGTGCTTTGCACGACGCAAACGTCCTGCGAAAATGACAGTATCATCGACCAAGGGATCCCGTTCGCCGGTAAGGAAATACGTTTTAGGGAATTTCTGTAATAGGAAATCAGGAGCCAGTATAGGAGACAAGAGGTAGTCCTGCGAGAAATCGGGTCGGTTGTGGGGTCCGATGTATAGAATGATCATCGCGCGCATCATCTCGGGGGTTAAAACACGATCATTGAAATAAGAGATCATAGATGCCATGGCCAAGCGTGTCCGCATCGGTTCGGGTCTATGCGACATCGGTTTGATATCTCGGCTCGAGGTTGGCGCCAATGATTGGGACTTCGCCCAATTTTGGCGATTGGCGTGGGAGTATTCCGGCTGAGGACTACGAAGCCCATCGTCGTCTGCGCGAGTTTCTGATTTAGACATCTTTGTGCCTGGGGTTAGGCCAGAAGGCTCTTCATCTTCATCGTCCGATTGGTGGGGTGTGCCGACAAGGTCATTATATTGCATGCTCTTGCGACGTAGGTAGTCCTTGTTTGTCACCCTCATCCGCCGGTCTTTAATAAGAGACATCTGCTCGTCAGACATCCAATTGCCGATATTCATATCCAACCCAGGGTACATGAGCACAAGCCCGACTGGGACGGGCAGATCTGCCTGGGCCGATGATTGACGCCGATCAGTGGCGCTCTCGATTACCATCAAAGTCATTGCTGTCGCAAGATTTCCGCCAGCGCTATCACCAGTTACCACGACCTTTGGAATCTCCAACCCCGACATCCCTATACACCGCCCTTTACTCCTAATGATAGTCGAATACACATCAAAACATTCATTTAGTGCGTACGGATACGGGAATTCCGGGGCCTTCTTGTAATCTAGACTGAGCACCGGAAGGCCTGTCTTCCCGGCCCAGGCAAATAGCTTATCATCGTTGCATCGCGGATCCATAGCCACAAAGCCTCCGCCGGGAATGTCTAGAATCATCCTGTTGATGTGCTCCAGATCCGAAATCGGTCCATCATAATACAGCCACCCAGAAACGGGTTCCTTGTAATCGCTTGTGCTAGGTCGTGGAATACGGATAGCTCGCGCCGGCCACCGCGTAAACCGGGGCCTCATGAGATTCTGAAAAGTCCGTAGATATAGTGTAGTCCCTTTGTTCCAACTGACCCGCAGATGATCGACTGTCAGGGCTCCTCTAACCTTTCTAACCTTCTCATCCGCGCGTTCGGCTGCTACCATATAGAATACGGAGAACACCAGGCTAGCTATATCTCTTATCCATTTTCTCCTTATTTTCATGGCAGTCCAGAATCCCGCATCGAGGGCGGTGAGAATCCAGGTTGCGCGGAAGTATTTGGCGTCGTACATATTCGCCATTGGCTCCGGACTAGCAAGTCCGACGAGAGTACTGAAATTCCGGGCAGCGTACAGATACATCATCGTAAACACAACGGTCTGCCATGCTGTTAACGTTTTCGAGGAGATTTTAGATAAGTATCGAGCAAGTGGCGGGCCATGTCGATGACCTCTGATTTGTTGTTAGTAAGGTAATTTCATACAGAGGCGCGCGGAATGACTAGGTAGATTCTTACTTGAACAGATAGAAGGACCAGAACGTCAGCACGGCAAGCACCTGGAGCCTTCGCGACTTCACAGAAGGCTTGCCGAGAACGTGATCTATCATATTGTACAATGACAGTCCAAATTAACCGTCTAGAAAGAAGGTGGAAATGTAGGGTTTCCCAATTTTTACTTTAGAACATAATACTAGACATAACCATCCAACTCAGAAGATGGTGCTGTGTACCTTACTGAAGGGGGAAACGACTAGACTTAGATCACGGAGTAGATTTGCTCTCAAGAAGAGATGCAGCATGTGAATTGCGGCATAGTTCCTTGCAACAATTTCTCTTTAGCCAAGTTAGCCAAGTTAGCCAGGGAAGGGCGAATTGGGTTCGAGGACAACGTGGGACGGACGGAGGATTCGGATGACAAGCTTGGAACAATAGAAACGGGTTCGTGACATAAAGTCCGAGGACTAAAGATAACGGCCTGCTAGGTTAGAGGCTAGGTTAGAGGAAACATTGTGGATTATTTGAATTATTGACCGAGCTGACAGGATGAGATTGAATTTACAAGCTCGTGAATGGCTGGGATATGATGAAACCCAGAACCTATCGGCTTCTTTGGTGACGTTTGCGTCGAGGGAGTAAGATGGAAGGACCTGACATGTGAAAGTCGCCTTACTGTCCAGGTCCACGGACCACTCTTACCACTGGCCACGGGTGCTAACCTTAAACCGATCAGCAGGCAAACGAAATTTCCCCATTCCCCATCCCCCACATCCGATTTGGGTCTAAGGATTCTCTAGCCTATCAGCACCTGAAGATCGCGGAGAAGTCAGGGGGGGCAGGGGCTGACTTTGGGTACCTCAAGTACCTAAAGTAAGGAATGTAGATGTCCCCGCGTTGGAGATTTGGAGAACTGCGTGCGATATTACCGGCATCCGAGTATTCATTGGATCTTGCGGATTTCATGGATCCTATCCTACATATGGATCGCATCCAAACCTACTTACAGCGTACATGTAGTAGCTGAGCATCACCTACTAGAATAGATACCTAGGCTACCTAGGTAGTAGGTACCAGGTAAGCAGAGGGGTTCATGCGTTATGCCGCCGTGTAAATGAAAACTGAGCTGATGATATGTAGTAAGCCATCTGCGACCATGTGCCATAAAATATGTGACCGATTGGCCTAAGCCGTCGAATTCCAGTCCCTACCAACCATATATAAATGGGCGGTCGCGGTTAAATTTTAAGGCAGTGCAAGAACGGCTAGATGCGCTTGCTGAGTGATTGAATTGATTATTGATTGCCCTCGCTTTCGAAGAAGATGTGACCAGTCAGCTATAGTTCAAAAGAGACTGCTCCATTCAAGAAGCTATGTAAAGCTTCAGTGGATTAAGTTAAGTTACCGAGGCGCGTCTGTGCAAGATAATAATTGAAGAAGGTAAATTCTAAATATTGTCAGATTAAGTTCAATGTTGACAGAAAGAATGAGTCTCATTGCTACAGGTCACAGCGAAATCGGAACCAAAATTTAGGCTAGTGGTTATCGATAGAGAAAAAAGTGGCATTTCAGGTGGGATTTTAGGGATTTCCAGGCGGGCAAGTGGGATTCATGGATGGTTTCACCAACTTTTATTTTCTTAAGTGACTTCCTTTCGGCATTTATAAAATTAATAAAACTTAGGAGTCATTACTCTCTTTTCTTTCTCTCCTCTTTCCTCCCTCTCTCTCTCTCTCTTTCCATCGTTGATTTGCGACTTCGCGACTTTGCGACTTAAGAAATGGCTTCCCGATTTGCCCTTCGACGATTCCCCGCGACCAGAGTGCGCTGTCTGTCTTCTCAAGCGACAGCAACCTCCAACCTATCGCAAAATGTCCAACAGTCCATCTCCCACGAAGCCAATCTTCCAAACCCCGACCCTACGGAAGATTCCCCGACCGCAGCTTTAGTCAAAGAACACTCCAAGTTTATGTTGGCAACATATGCTAGACCACCACCGGTATTCGTAAAGGGTGAAGGTTCATATTTGTGGGATCTAGAGAACCGCAAGTATCTAGATTTCACAGCCGGAATTGCAGTCAATGGACTTGGCCACAGCCATCCCGGTCTAGCCAAGATCCTCTCGGATCAGGTAGAGAATCCAATGCTCTCTTTTCGTCCGTACTAGAGATACTAATAAGCTCTTCTTAGGCCCAAACTCTATGGCATGCATCCAACCTATATTACAACCCTTGGACTGGCGCGCTTTCTCAACTTCTAGTCGAGAAGACCCGAGAATCAGGTGCCATGCATGACGCTGCAACCGTGTTCGTCTGCAATTCTGGCTCTGAAGCAAACGAGGCAGCTATCAAGTTTTCCCGAAAGGTTGGCAAGGCCTTAGACCCTACCGGCGCGAAGCACGAATTCGTCTCTTTCCACGGTTCATTCCATGGAAGAACCATGGGAAGTTTATCCGCGACGCCCAACCCCAAATATCAAGAACCCTTCGCGCCGATGCTCCCGGGCTTCAAGTATGGAAAGTACAACGACATCGAAGCTATCAATGATCTCGTGACCGATAAGACATGCGGTGTGATAATCGAACCTATCCAAGGCGAGGGAGGTGTAAACGTCGCCACCGATGAGTTCCTGACTGCCCTTGCGAAGCGATGTCGTCAAGTTGGCGCCGTCCTCATCTACGACGAGATCCAGTGCGGTCTAGCAAGGACTGGCACTTTCTGGGCTCACGCTCACCTACCCAAGGAAGCCCATCCGGACATCATCACTACGGCAAAGGCTCTTGGCAACGGTTTCCCTATCGGTGCTACTGTAGTTAACAGCCATGTTAGTGAGAAGATCAAGATTGGCGACCACGGCACAACATTTGGCGGCAACCCGATGGCATGCCGTCTCGGACACTACGTGGTGTCTGAGCTATCTGATCCGAAGTTGCAGCGCGACGTTATTTCCAAGTCCAAGACCTTCAAAGAAGGATTTGAGCGCCTGCGAGAACGATACCCTGACCTGATTACCGAAGTTCGCGGTAAAGGTTTAATCCTAGGCTTACAGTTGACCCAAGACCCCACACCGATACTGAAGGCTGCCAGGGAGAGGGGATTGCTAGTGATCACCTGTGGAACGAATACGCTCCGATTTGTCCCTCCTCTCACCATCAGCGAGGAAGAGATCAAGAGCGGACTTCGTATCCTAGAGGAGGCCATTGAGGTAACTCGATAAACTTTTTTGTTCCATCAGCAAGGCGTTTCGGTTTACTTAAAAAGGGGTCTCGTCTTCCAATTAGATTTTTATATAGTCCCAGTTCTAGACATTGACTCGTTTAGCGATCATGATGTATGTACTGCTTGGGCTGAAACTTCCTACTGCATATAACGAAGACAATAAGAGCGAACATAGTTTTGATTTGCATAAAGGCCTACCTGTTCTATTATATCTGTTCGCCGTCAATGACCGCCATTATACCCTTACAATATTGGGGTAGGTCTCAAGACACTTTATCAACGGCATCACCATTTCATTATAGGACTTGCTCCTAAGGTGATGAGATTAGTCCCATCTAGAAGCTCCGCGAGTACCTAGTATATTGAGCCTTTCTAGTAAAAGGTCAACCGGCCGGAAAATAATTCGAGAAATTGGACCCGTGGAGTAATGCTATAGCCTTACTTCATGTAGACAATCCAAGGAGTTGATGCGATACCGCGGTGCAATAACAGAGTCATAAGAGCACTCGCTGCTATGTACTTATGACTAGATTACCCCTAGAGCATTGGTTCACGAGTACCTCGTCTTAAGTTCACCATCTCCCGAGGCCGCAAAATGTATCATGGAATATTACTTAGTCGAATTACGTTTTCACTACTACCAGCCTGGTTATATTCGAGATTTAGGATCTATGCAAACTATTATGTACCTATTTAGCTAAATCACAGGATTATTACCTACCTACCTACATGGTACTATAGAGGGAACCTCATGTTCGCGAGAATCATTCTAAACCTTATTCAATCATTACATGCATAAGATCGATAGAAATTGAGCACTTCCATTCTTTAGGTAAGAATCATTCTACTTATCTATGATTTCTTATTTGACTATTCATCTTATGTAAGTAGGTAGGTATAGATTCATAAACCAGGTACCTCAGTTATTTATACGTACGTACGTACGTACCTGTCTAGGTTGATCAGAAGGTATCTATCAGAGGTCTAGTAGAATAAGGGGCTGAGCTATGTAATACCTGTTGGCCCTAGTCCAGAGTCATCAAACGGATTTCCATACATGGATGTATAGTGTACTAGGTAGGTAGGTAGGCGAGGTAATTTCTGAGCTCTTCGCACGAGGTTACTTCCTCGTTCATGAAATCTACCTGGGCGCCTAGGTAGGTAGCCACTTAATAGTTGGTAATCTCATAAGTTGCTATAATATCCTATGCTAGGTATAGAAGGGCTTCAAACTACGGGTATCTAAGACCAGTACCTACACGTCATCTTTCTATACAGTCTCTTGCGATATGTTGTTTGGTATCTTGAGACTCAGGTTACAAGTCGTCCCAGTCAAGAAAACGTACACCCAACGACATCTATGAGTTACTAGATCGCAGACACGCTTCATTAGTAATATTAACAGCTCGATGACTCTAAATTATTAATGTTTCTTTATCTATCAAGCTCTACCAGTTCGTTTATCGTCCTATTACGATGTGACCAGGTATCTTAAGAACCTTAGGTACCTACCTAGTAGGTAGTTTAAGGAGTGACCCCTTTTCAATGTCAGGATATAAAAGATCCCCCCAATTCAGCCAATATACTGTAAAGAAACCACGTTTCCGAGGATGGTAACCAGTCTATTCAGCTAGTATCACTACAGCTTCTATGTTATTCGGACTTTGCCACTACTGGGAGGTAGCTAGGTAGGTAGATAGTAGGTACCTACCTACCTAGTATTGTCAACAATGTCGGACAACAGATCATTTTCTCAACGAAATCTACTTGGTACGTATGGATATAAAATCATGTTTGATAGGTAATGAGCATCGGAGATCACTGCTTGTCCAGGTTCTCATCAAAAAGCTTCGTGGGCATATCCTACGTCAAGAGATCATTGTCGTCGCAAGAAAACGCACCGGGCCAGGAAATCACCCCCCAAGCGGGAAGCGACTCAGGCGAGCATCCTCTGCAAGCCAGAGCAAGCCAAAGCCGAACTATACCGTTCCGCGGTTATTCAATTGCCGTGTTGTTCTAGCCTCCCCGTCCCATCGATTGCAAATAACCTGGATCCAAGAACTTCCTGTAAGCCCCGAATAACAACTTCCAAGGTTGCCAATATAGCGCAGCTCTCTCCGGCCGGCCGTTGAGCCCAGAACGATCTCATGGAGAATGCGACGGTGATAACCCGCAGGACCCCAGAAATCCCCATTCACTTCCAGGTCTCCGTCATCTGTACCTGCATATTAATTGATTAATTGCCTCGGCAGCCAGCGTGCCACATCTTTATCGACACGTAATAGCTGCGAGGGAGGGTCGCATTCACCGCCTCAATGAGAAAACGCCGTTTGCTCTCTTTGCGCCACGGCGCTCATTGGCTGCGCATACGGACTTTTTAGGGGGACGGAAAAGCTACGTAGGGAAAGGAAAAGGCCTCGTTGGGCATTGCTGCTTGACTGGACGGGAGAACAAACATGTCACGTCGAGATGATAGAAGCTACCAACCAGCGCCGAGATATTCTAGGCTTCACTTGACGACATCATTACTCATTAACACATGTTGGCATTTTGCGTCCTTGATCAGACCATTCTCGCCTGACGGCCTAGGCAGTAGGTACTCAACTGTAGGGACGAGGCGCTTCAACGGGCGTCAATACTAACGGCCTTGGCAGGAATAATTTATTAAGCCACTGGAGAATTTTACGTATGTAGGTCTTGTAGGTCCTGTAGGTCCTGTAGGTCCTGTATGTACCATAAAGACTTCTGTCACACCCCCGCGCGATGGAATTAGCGAATGGCGTCACCCGGTACGGGTCGCTCGACGTCGATCAACTAAATGCTGACACGCTGAAGCCACTAAGTGACCTCTCGTAAAATCTAAAGTAGATGGCAGGTTGCCGACCTCGAGAGCGGGAAGGGCCTTGGCCATAAGATGATCCTTCAAGTGACTTATCACTTGTCTAGGTACTTTGATGCACGATATGTATCCATGGATGTATGAGAAGATCAAAAAGCGGCGCGCATTCGAGTTGACATACTGACATATACGCAAAATACGTAGAGGCGCATGCGTGGTGGGACTTCCTCGATCTTAGGTCTACTTACTCTACTTATTCCACTTACTACTTCTTACCTAAACCAGCCAAAGCCGAAGAAAAAAAGTTTTCCTTATCCTTCCAATTGTGGTAAGACTTCGCGCCGTCTCTCGTCAGCTCGTTGTGATCTGACTTCGGTACCTGCAGATAGAACCATGCCTCTGGAGGGAGCGGGATGCGAAGGAACCATACATCCCACACCGGCCACAATAATTAGTGAAATGGTCAACCAATAGAAAATTGAGAAAGATGGTAAAAATAAAAGGCACAGAAAAAAAGAAACTTTGACTGGCTACCCACGTAAGCTCAACTGCCTCTTCTCTACCTATCTAAAGGATCCCAACCATTAGGTACGGGGGGGCAGATGACTTCCTTAATCGTCAATCGTATCGCGGCAGTAATACCCATCCTTTTGCTACATTGGTGAGAATCTATACTCCAGGTATAGGAATGAGGAATAAACGCAAGAAGAGCTGATAAACCAATCAGAAGCCGATCGCATGAGGCGAATTGAATGCTGCCACACCACGCGAGCGACGAGCCTACGTCCAGGACTTACCAACTATCTTGAGTTGGTGACATTGTCCCTTGCATTAGGGCTGGCTAGTGTAGGATAACCTATGGAGCGAGAGAAAGCAAAATAATTTTCTTTTGTCTCTTTTTTTCCCACTCGGCTCAGGCTAAAACGGGAAAGCTAGGAACATTCGAGGTTGTCAGCAGTTTTTATTGCCGAGAGCTACTTTAGACACTTCTTAGCACGAGTTCTAGACAAGAATCCCGGCCGAGAGGTGCGGAGAGACTGGAAGCAAGCAAGCAAACAATTGCCATCCGTTGTCGACTTCCAAGATTCATATAGACAAATACGAGAACATGGCTCAAGATGGCTTCGTAGAAACAAACAAAGATGTGGCGAGGAGGGAAGGTCGTGTTCTTGCCCTCGCATGGAAATGACATATATGGTTTCAGTCTTCCTCGTATTGAGGATAACAACTTCTCGCACGCCGCCAACAGTGTACAGGCATTCTTCGCAGCCCATTTGTAAACCGCGTTAGTCATAGAATTCATTCATCCAAGGCCCTAGGAAAAGTTTATTTCGACCTTGTTTAAGGAACTAGATTAGCCTGTCGGCCTGTGTACACGCTGTTGTCCCTAATCGGTATCCCTTGAAGCAGAATGGATGAGTCAATTCCGAGGTCGGTAGGACTATCGATACTTGTCGACCTAAGGTAGTAATCTTGACATACACGTGGCGCATTTATGAGGAGTGAAGAGTATTACACTGAAGCTAATAAACATTGGATTCACTTAAGCTCGGTCTGTTCCAAGTTCGATAGAGATGATGAAGCGCCGAGGTAGCGGAGGAAAGACTTTGGAAATAGTATATCTCTATTAGCACCGAGGAATTTCTGTTGGGTGGACCACAAGTACCTACAATACAGCTGTAGTCAGACCCGGGAGGATTTCCCGCTCCTCCACGAATGTTAAAATGATGGAAGTATCGTGTATCCATACCTACCTCCTACCTAGTACCTACCTCTTGGCTGGACGGTAAAAAAAGGTCCTTGCTGACCACCACCAACTTGCGTCTGACGTCTGACAGATCCGGAGAAGCGCACGTCTACCCGACTGGATGGTCAGTAATAGATGAGATGGCTGGAGATTAAGTTCAACGTATCTTGTGAGAATAGGGGGAAAATTGGCCCTAAAAGCGCCGCTGACGTGACTCCGAGCCGGGAGACGCAGCACCGGCACACACAGCCAAGCAGCTAAGCTGGTGTTTCCTGCGGCCACCCGGCGTCTTTGTACCTACCTTCACTCACGTCGTGTGTAATGAACGCCTTACAAAGAGAATACGACAGGAGAGAAGGCCCAATAGGACCTCGTGCGATGGTCGCATCCATACCTACCGTAAGGCTTCATACCCCGAGTTTTTTCGTCAGGTCAGATGTAGTGTACCCCGGCTGGCACACGAAATGGGGTACCGGTATGTATGTGAGCTGTTACATAGTATGTATGTATCTTTCAGCAACCGATACCACGTTATGTGTAGGTATCTTGTGGCAGCGAGGGAAAAGCCGCACGTTCATCCGTTCTT